GAAAGGGGGAGGGACGGTTTCTAAGGTGGGGGAGGGGCCATTTATGACCCCGCCCCTCCCCCACCCCCAGCCCAGCCCCGAAGGCTCCTGGGGCCCCCCCAGCCTTGGCTCGGCCCCCTGGGAGCCCCCCAAAGGTCAGTGGGGGCAGGGAGGGGGGGAGGGGGGGGAGGGGCCGGTGCCCATCCCCCACCTCTCACCTGCCGCCTCTCCCCCACCCCCCTTTAGGGGCGGAGCCTCACCTGTACGAGGAGGTGGAGCCATGGGGGGGCTACGAGGAGGTGAGCGGGGAGGGGATTGAATGGTGGGGGAGGGGTCATGGGATCATCCAGGGTGGGGGAGGGGCAAAGAGCAGCTCTGGCCCCTCCCCCTTCATTCCCCTCCCCCCCCCAGGTGCCCCCGGAGCCGCTCGTGACCCCCCAGGGGGAGCTGGTCTGAGGGGGAGGGGCCTCGGAGGAGCCACGCCCGGAAATAAACCACGCCTACAAATAAACCATGCCCATTCCCAGTTCAAACCAGTGCAGTCCGGTTCTTCCCCCGTTCAATCCAGTTCAACTCAGTTGCTCCCAGTTCAAACCAGCCCAGCCCAGTTGCTCCCAGTTCAAACCAGTCTCTTCCAGTTTGTTCCAGTTCCCTCCCAGTCCATCCCAGTTACTCCCAGCCCATCCCAGTATATCCCAGTCACACGCCAACACTTCCATGTAGCTCTAACATCATCTTTATTGCCGGCCCAGTTCCTCCCAGTCTGTCCCAGTCTGGGTTATCTCATTCCCAGCCCCTCCCAGTTTGTCCCAGTCCCTCCCAGTCCATCCCAGTAACACACCAACACCTCCATGCAGTTCTAACATCGCCTTTATTGCCATCCCAGTCCCTCCCAGTTTGTCCCAGTCTGGGTTATCTCAATCCCAGTCCCTCCCAGTTGGGTTTATCTCATTCCCAGTCCCTCCCAGTCCATCCCAGTGCTCCCAGTTTGGGCTATCTCAGCCCCAGTTTCTTCTTCACTCTCTGTTTGCGTCTCACCACCTCCAGGCTCCCAGTTTGTCCCAGTCCCTCCCAGTCCATCCCAGTTTGTCACAGTCTGGGTTATCTCAGTCCCAGTCCCTCCCAGTCCCTCCCAGTCCATCCCAGTAACACACCAACATCTCCGTGCAATTCTAACATCGCCTTTATTGCCATCCCAGTTTGTCCCAGTCCCTCCCAGTCTGTCCCAGTTTGCTTTATCTCATTCCCAGCCCCTCCCAGTCCCTCCCAGTCCCTCCCAGTGCTCCCAGTTTGTCCCAGTCTGGGCTATCTCAGCCCCAGTTTCTTCTTCTCGCGCTGTTTGCGCCTCACCACCTCCAGGTTCCGATCCTTCCATTGGCTCTTGCGCAGCTTGATGGGCCGGCTGCCCACGTACTTCCCTGGGGGGAACAAACTGGGGTCACTGGGACAAACTGGGAGGGACTGGGAATGAGGCAAACCCAACTGGGAGAGGCTGGGATATACTGGGAGGGACTGGGAATGAGGTAAACCCAACTGGGAGGGACTGGGAATGAGGTAAACCCAACTGGGAGAGACTGGGATATACTGGGAGGGACTGGGAGGAAAATGGGATAAACTGGGAGGACTGGGAATGGACTGGTTTATACTGGGAGGGACTGGGAGGGGATTAGAAAAGGATTAGAGGACACTGGGATATACTGGGAGGGACTGGGAGGGTATTGGGGGTTACTGGTTTATACTGGTTTGTGGTTTCTTGTTACTGGTTTACGGTTAGGGGTTACTGGGACAAACTGGGAGGGACTGGGAGGGGATTGGGGGGACTGGGAGGGACTGGAATAAACTGGGAGGGACTGGGAGGTTGGGGGTCCCCAATCCTCCCGATGTTGCCAATCCCCCCAATGTCCCCTCAGTGTCCCCAAGGTCCCCAATGTCCCCAACACCCCAGATGTCCCCAATTCCCCCAATGTCCCCAATGTCCCCTCAGTGTCCCCAAATGTCCCCAGTGTCCCCAATGTGCTCCATGTCCCCAATCCCCTCAGTATCCCCAATATCCCCAATGCCCCAGATGGCCCCAATGTCCCCAATGTCCCCTGGGTGTCCCCAATGTCCCCATTGTCCCCAATGTCCCCCATGCACCCAATGTCCCCAATGTCCCCCCAGTGTCACCGTTCATCTCGCGCATGGCCCGCACGCAGTCGTTGGGGTCCTTGAAGGACACGAAGCCGTAGCCCCCAAACCCCAATGATGTCCCCAATCCCCTGGATGTCCCCTAAAGTCCCCAGTGTCCCCAATGTTCCCAATGATGTCCCCAATATCCCCCATGTCCCCAAGCTCCTCAGGATCCCAATATCCCAAATGCCCCAGATGGCCCCAATGTCCCCAATCCCCCCAATGTCCCCTGGGTGTCCCCAGTGTCCCCAATCCCCAGGGTGTCCCCAATGTCCCCAGTGATGTCCCCAGTGATGTCCCCAATGTCCCCTCAGTGTCCCCAGTGTCACCGTTCATCTCGCGCATGGCCCGCACGCAGTCATTGGGGTCCTTGAAGGACACGAAGCCATAGCCCCAAACCTCAGTGTCCCCAATGTCCCCGGTGATGTCCCCAGTGATGTCCCCAGTGATGTCCCCAGTGTCCCCATTGTCCCCCAGTGTCACCGTTCATCTCGCGCATGGCCCGCACGCAGTCGTTGGGGTCCTTGAAGGACACGAAGCCATAGCCCCACACCTCAATGTCCCCAATGTCCCCAGTGATGTCCCCAATGTCCCCAATGTCCCCAAATGTCACCGTTCATCTCGCGCATGGCCCGGACGTAGTCGTTGGGGTCCTTGAAGGACACGAAGCCGTAGCCCCACACCTCAATGTCCCCAATGTCCCCAGTGATGTCCCCAATGTCCCCAATGTCCCCAAATGTCACCGTTCATCTCGCGCATGGCCCGGACGTAGTCGTTGGGGTCCTTGAAGGACACGAAGCCGTAGCCCCACACCTCAATGTCCCCAATGTCCCCAGTGATGTCCCCAATGTCCCCAATGTCCCCAAATGTCACCGTTCATCTCGCGCATGGCCCGGACGCAGTCGTTGGGGTCCTTGAAGGACACGAAGCCATAGCCCCACACCTCAATGTCCCCAATGTCCCCAGTGATGTCCCCAATGTCCCCAATGTCCCCAAATGTCACCGTTCATCTCGCGCATGGCCCGGACGTAGTCGTTGGGGTCCTTGAAGGACACGAAGCCGTAGCCCTTGGTCTTGCCCGAGCGCTTGTCCCGGATCACTTTGGCCTTCAGGAAGGACGGGAAGCGCCCGAAGGCGCGGCCCAGCGTCTCGTCGTTCACCTCGTTCCCCAGGTCCCCGCAGAAGATGCGGAAATCGTCTGCAAATCGGGGCCGAAAACGGCGATTTTGGGTCATTTCTGGGGTCACCATAAAATAATGGGATTATCCCAAAGTAATGAGGTCGTGAGGAGCCCTTGGGGTCATGATTTGGTCCAGAATCTCACCATAAATCTCATTCTCCAAATCGCCACAAAATATCTGGGAATTATTTGAATTTGGGCTGAAAAACGGCGATTTTGGGGCCATCAAAAAGTTATGAGATCGTTACAAAGTTCTGCGGTCATGGGGGTGCTTTGGGGTCGTGACCAAGTCCAGGATCTCATCATTGACTTTGTTACCCAAATCCTCACAAAAAGAGCTGGAAATTGTCTGAGTTTGGGGCCAAAACCGGCGATTTTGGGTCATTTTGGGGTTATGGAGTCATTAATGAAATTATGGGATCGTTATGGGGTCATCCAGGGTCACGGGGACACCCCAAGGTCGGGGTCAGCCCCAGCGTCTCGTCCTTCACCTCGTTCCCCAGGTCCCCGCAGAAGATGCGGAAATCGTCTGCAAATCGGGGCCAAAAACGGCGATTTTGGGTCACTTTGGGGTTCTGGGGTCATTAATGAAGTTTTGGGGTCATTAATGAGGTTCTGGGGTCACTAATGAAGTTCTGGGGCCATTAATGAGGTTCTGGGCTCGATATGACGTCACTGAAACCCCTGAGGGCTGTGGGGTCACTGTGAGGTCACGGGGACACCCCAAAGGTCACCTGGTGACCCCCAATCCCCTCCCAGTACAAACCAGTATGAACCAATAACCTCCCAGTCAGTCCCAGTCCCTCCCAGTAACCCCAAACTGCAAACCAGTACAAACCAGTAACCCTCAATCCCCTCCCAGTACAAACCAGTCCCCCCCAATCCCTCCCAGTAACCCCAAACCTCAAACCAGTATAAACCAGCAACCCTGGACCCCCTCCCAGTCCCCATCAATCCCCTCCCAGTACAAACCAATAACCCCGAATCCCACCTTAGCCCTTTCCCAGTTCATCCCAGTCCTCCACAGTGACCCCCAAACCTCCTCCCAGTCTCTTCCAGTATAAACCAGTATCCCTAAATCCCCTTTTTATCTTTTCCCAGTTCCCTCCCAGTCCCTCCCAGTATATCCCAGTCCCCTCCCTGTTTATCCTAATCCTCTCCCAGTCCCTCCCAGTATAACCCAGTCCGTCCCAGTTCTATCCCAGTCCCTCCAATCATAAACCAGTAACCCCCCGATCCCCTCCCAGTCCATCCCAGTCCATCCCAATCCCCTCCCAGTATGACCCAATCCGCTCCCAGTCCATCCCAGTTTGATCCCACTCCCTCCCAGTATAACCCAGTCCACCCCAGTCCCATCCTAATTCCATCCCAGTCCCTCCCAGTATACCCCAGTCTCTCCCAGTTTGATCGCAATCCCTCCCAGCATAAGCCAATCTCTCCCACTCCCTCCCAGTATAACCCAATCCCCTCCCAGTCTGCTCTCAGTCCCTCCCAGTTTGATCCCAGTCCCTCCCAGCCCCTCCCAGTATAACCCAGTTCCTCCCAATCCCCTCCCAGTATATCCCAGTCCCTCGCACTTTGATCCCAGTCTCTCCCAGTACAACCCAATCCCCTCCCAGTCCCCCCCAGTCCCTCCCAGTTTATCCCAGTTTGATCCCAGTCCCTCCCAGTTTATCCCAGTTTGATCCCACTCCCCTCCCAGTCCCTCCCAGTTTATCCCAGTTTGATCCCAGTCCCTCCCAGTTTATCCCAGTTTGATCCCAGTCCCCTCCCAGTCCCTCCCAGTCCCCTCCCAGTTTGATCCCAGTCCCTCCCAGTCCCTCCCAGTGCCTCCCAGTCCGTACCAGCGTCCCACTCCAGCAGACTGGGATCCTCCCAGCTGCTCCCGGCCGCCGTGCGGATGCAGCGCTTCAGCCGCTCGCCCCGCCCCTTCCGCTTGTCCTCGGCCGCAGGCTCCGCCCCCACCTGGCGGACAGCTGTCAATCACCCCGGGGACACGCCCACCCCACCACGGACACGCCCACCCAGGAGGAAAACCCCTAAATTTTGGAAGCTCCGCCCCTTTCTGAATGGCCCCAACCTAGCTTTGTACGTAGCTGTCAATCACCTGGACACACCCTCCCCATCCAGGACACGCCCACCATTGTTTGGACACGCCCACCCCAAAGAAAGACCCTGAATTTGGAGGCTCCGCCCCTTTTTGGGTAGCCCTGCCTCATCAGAATAAGCACCTGTCAATCACCCAGGACACACCCACTTCTGGCCACACCCATCTAGCAGGAAACCTGTAAATATGAGGCTCCACCCTCTTCAGGATAACCCCACCCCTATCCTGACAGTCTCCTGTCAATCATCTGGCCACACCCACCCCAAAGAAAGTCCCCACATTTGGAAGCTCCGCCCCCCATTTCCAAGCCCAACCCCCATCTGATCAACACATGTCAATCACTCAAGACACGCCCACCCCGCAATAACCCCGCCCATGTAAGTATGGCCACACCCACCTACCAGGAAATGGCACCACCCACACTCAAGGCTCTGCCCCTTTTCCTATAGCCCCACCCACTTTCTGAAGCACAGCTGTCAATCACTGGGGCACATCCATGGACACGCCCACCTCCGTTTGACCACGCCCATTCCCCCAAACTTACCATACCCATTTTTCTATGGCCACACCTCTCCTGAGCACCTGTCAATCACTTCATAAAGCCACACCCACTTTCCTTTCAGCCCACCCACTCCAAACCCTTAAACCTCGCCCCCTTTAGCCCCACCCACCCCTCAAGCTCCACCCCTTAATATTTAGCCCCATCCAAGCCCCGCCCCTTTAAGCCCCGCCCACCTCAGGCACAGGGAAGGGCGGGTCCTGTGGGCGTGGCCTGCGGAGGGGGCGTGGCACAGGCGCAATGTGAGCGGGGCCAGGGCGTGGCTCCGGAGGGGGCGTGGCCATGGCGGGGGGCGGAGCCGGGAGGCTTGGACCAATCCGAGGCTCCTCGGGAGGCGGGGCCCGAGGGGGCGGGGTCTCCTCCTGTGGGGGTGGGGTCAGAAGGGTTACAGGGGGTGGGACTCCATGTGGGAGGAGGCGGGGCTAAAATGGGCGGGGCTAAGTGGGGTGGGGTTAAAGGGGGAGGGGCTAAATATAATCAATGGAAGGGGAGGGGCAAAGGAGAATTAAGCGAAGGGGAGGAGCTAAAGGGGGTGGGGTTGAAATGGGAGGGACTAAATGAATTAAAGGGGAGGGGCTAAACGGTGTGGGTAAAAGGGGAGGAGCTAAAGAAGAAATAAATAAGTGGGAGGAGCTAAAAAGTGAGAGGTTTAAGGGGAGGAGCCAAAAGAGAAGCAATTAAAGGGGGTGGGGCTAAATGGGGTGTGGTTAAAAGGGGAAGAGCCAAAAAAGGATTAATTAAAAGGGAAGGATTAAAAGGGGAGGAGCCAGAAGAGAAGGAATTAAAGGGGGAGGAACTAAAGGAGAGGAGCTAATGGAGGAGTAACTAAAGGGGGCGGGGCCGGGTACACGGTGGGCGGGGCCGGGTACACGGTGGGCGGGATCAGGTTGGGGACATTTGGGGACACTGCTGTCGCTCACCAGGGCACGGTGGGGCGGGGCTGTGTACAGGGTGGGCGGGGGTCAGTTTGGGGACATTTGGGGACATTGCTGTCACTCACCGGGGCGGGGCAGGGCGGGGTACATGGTGGGCGGGGCCGGGTACACGGTGGGCGGGGTCACATTTGGGGACATTTGGGGACACTGCTGTCACTCACCGGGGCGCGGTGGGGCGGGGCCGGGTACACGGTGGGCGGGGTCACATTTGGGGACATTTGGGGACACTGCTGTCACTCACCGGGGCGCGGCGGGGCGGGGCCGGGTACACGGTGGGCGCGGCCTGGATGACGGGCGGGGTCGGTTTGGGGGGGCCCGGGGGGGGGGCCCCGGGGGGGGCACTCGGGGTCCCCCCCGCGGCCACCGGGGGCAGGGGGGGCACCGGAGCCCCTCCTCCACCAGCCTGAGGGAAAAAATGGGGTGAAAAAGGGGGAAAATGGCAAAAAATACCAAAAAACCCAAATTCAGCCCAAATCCCACCAGTCCCCCCAGTCCCTCCCCAGTCCTTCCCAATCCCCCCCCAGTCCCCTCCCAGTACAAACCAGTAACCCCAAACCTGCTCCCAGTTCATCCCAGTCCCTCCCAAACCCCTCCCAGTCCCCTCCCGATAACTCTAAACTCCAAACCGGTATAAACCAGTAAGCCCCAGTTCCCTCCCAGTCCCCCTCAGTCCCTCCCAGTCCCCTCCCAGTTTATCCCAGCATTTCCCAGTCCCCTCCCAGTCCCCTCCCAGTCCCTCCCAGTAACCCTAAACCCCACACCAGTATAAACCAGTAAGCCCAAACCCCCTCCCAGTTCCTTTCCACGAACTCCCAGCTCCCCCTGGTGGCGGCTTTGAGAACTGCAGCGTCCTCCCAGTAACTCCCAGTCTCTCCCGGTATCCCCCAGTATATCCCAGTTTATGCCAGTCCTTCTCAATCTCCTCCTAAGCCCCTCCCAGTCCCTCCCAGTACCTCCCAATCCCCTCCCAGTATCCCCCAGTATACCCCAGTCCCCTCCCAGTCCCTCTCAATCCTTCCCAGTGCCCCCAATCCCCTCCCAATCCCTTCCCAGTATATCCCAGTATATCCCAATCCCTTCCCAGTCCATCCCAGTCCCTCCCAGTATCTCCCAGTACAAGCCAGTCCCCCCCAATCCCCTCCCAGTCCCTCCCAGTATCTCCCAGTGCCTCCCAGTATATCCCAGTTCCCTCCCAGTATATCCCAGTATATCCGGATCCCCTCCCAGTCCCCCCCAATCCCCTCCCAGTCCCATCCCAGTCCCTCCCAGTCCATCCCAGTCCATCCCAGTATATCCCAGCCCCTCCCAGTCCCCCCCAATCCCCTCCCAGCATATCCCAATCCATCCCAGTCCCTCCCAGTATCCCTCAGTTCCCTCCCAGTCCCTCCCAGTATATCCCAGCATATTCCAATCCCCTCCCAGTATATCCCAGTATACCCCAATCCAACCCAAACCCATCACAGTCCCCTCCCAGTCCATCCCAGTATATCCCAGTCCCATCCCAGTCCATCCCAAACCCATCCCAGTCCCTCCCAGTATATCCCAGTATATCCCAGTCCCTCACTCACCGCTCCGGGCGCTCTCAGGGCCCCTCCCCCGCCCAAGGGCGCCCCCAGGGGGGGGGTGGGGGGCGGTCTCTGCAGTGGGGGAGGGGCGAGCAGCAGGGGGGGGGGCGGGGGGGGCCCCCAGGGGAGGCCCCACCCCCACCATGGCCCCGGGGGGGGGGCGCAGGGCCAGGGGACCCCGGGGACCCGCTGGGGACACAAAGGGGGGGGGGGGGGGACACAGCGGGGTCACCACGGTGACGGCAGCGTCCCCAAAATGTTCCCAAAATCCCCCCAAAAAATTGTACCCAAAAATGTCCCCAAACCACCCAAAAAGGTCCCCCAAAAATGTCCCCAAAACACCCAAAAATGTCCCCAAAAATGTCCACAAACCACCCAAAAATGTTCTCAAAAATGTCCCCAAATCCCCAAAAAAATGTCCTCAAAAACGTCCCCAAACCCCTCAGAATATGTTCTCAAAAATGTCCCCAAACCACCCAAAAACATCCCCCAAAAATGCCCCCAAACCACCCAAAAATGTCCCCAAAACACCAAAAAAATGTCCCCAAAAATGTGCCCAAACCACCCAAAAATGTCCCCAAATTCCCCAAGAAATTTACCCAAAAATGTCCCCAAACCACCCAAAAATGTCCCAAAATCCCACCAAAAAAGTACCCAAAAATGTCCCCAAACCATCCAAAATTATCCTCAAAAATGTTCCCAAATCCCCCACTGTCCCCAATGTCCCCAGTGTCCCTCCAAATGTCTCCAATGTCCCCAATGTCCCCCCAAATGTCTCCAGTGTCCCCCCAATGTGCCCCCAAAAATGTCCCCAAACCCCCAAAATGTACCCAAAAATGTCCCCAATGTCCCCAAACTCACCCAAATGTCCCCCAAAAATGTCCCCAATGTGTTCCCAATGTCCCCAACCCTCCCGATGTCCCCAATGTCCCCAATATTCCCAATGTCCTCAAACCCCCAAAATGTCCCCAAACCCCTCAGTGTCCCCCCAAAAATGTCCCCAATGTCCTCAATCCCCCCAATGTCCCCGCACTGTCCCAGAATGTCCCCAATGTCCCCCCATTGTCCCCAACATCTCCAATGTTCTCAATTCCCCCTGAATGTCACCGCTGTCCCCAATGTCCCCAATGTCCCCAATCCCCTCAATGTCCTCCCAATCCCCCACTGTCCCCCCCAATGTCCCCAATGTCCCCAATCCCCTCAATGTCCTCCCAATCCCCCACTGTCCCCCCCAATGTCCCCAATGTCCCCAATCCTCCCAATGTCCCCAATGCCCCCAACGTCCTCAATGTCCCCAACCCCCCCAATTCCTCCCACTGTCCCCAATGTCCCCACAGTGTCCCCAAATCCTCCCAATGTCCCCAACCCCCACAACCCTCAATATCCCCACTGTCCCCAATGTCCCCAAACGTCCCCAATGTCCCTGGCTGTCCCCCAATGTCCCCAATCCCCCCCACTGTCCCCAATCCCCCCAATGTCCCCAACCCCCCCAATGTCCCCTCAATGTCCCCAAACCCCTACAATGTCTCCATTGTCCTCAACTCTCCTAATATCCCCTCAATGTCCCCAATGTCCCCTCAATGTCCCCAACCTCCCCACTGTCCCCAATGTCCCCAACACCCCATTGTCTCCAATGTCCCCAAACCCCCTCAATGTCCCCAATGTCCCCTGGCTCTCCCCAGTGTCCCCCCAAAGTCCCCAATGTCCCAAACCCCGCCACTGTCCCCAAAGTCCCCAACACCCCCAAAGTCCCCAATGTCCCCAACCCCCCCACTGTCCCCAATGTCCCCAATCCCCCCAATGTCCCCAACCCCCCCAGTGTCCCCAGTGTCCCCAGTGTCCCCGTACCCGGTCTCTGCAGCACGTGTGGCACGAACGCCGGGCGCAGGATCGGCGGCCGCTGCGGTGACACTGCTGGGGACAGGAGGGGACAGTGGGGACAATGGGGACATTGGGGACAATGGGGACAGCCAGGGACATTGGGGACAGCCAGGGACATTGGGGACACTGGGGACAGCGGGGACAATGGGGACAATGGGGACAATGGGGACAGTGGGGACATTGGGGACAATGGGGACAGCCAGGGACATTGGGGACAATGGGGACAGCAGGGGACAATGGGGACAGTGGGGACAATGGGGACAGTAGGGACAGTGGGGACATTGGGGACAGCCAGGGACATTGGGGACACTGGGGAATAGCAGGGGACATTGGGGACATTGGGGACAGTGGGGACATTGGGGACAGCCAGGGGACACTGAGGGGACACTGAGGGGACACTGGTGACACCGCTGTCACTGACCTGGCCCCACGAATGGCACCGGGGGTGTCCCCAAGGGCGGGACGGTGGCGGCGGCGGCGGCGCGAGCCTCGAGGGACTGCTGGACCTGGGGACAGAGAGGGGACATTGGGGACACTGGGGGGACATTGGGGACACTGGGGACATTGAGGGGATTGGGGACACTGGGGGGACATTGGGGACATTGGGGGGGATTGGGGACACTGGGGACACTGGGGGGACATTGGGGACACTGGGGACAGTGGGGACATTGGGGATTTGAGGACATTGTGGACATTGGACAGCTTGGGGACATTGGGAGGAACTGGGGACAGTGAGGGGACATTGGAGATATTTGGGGACATTGGGGACACTGGGGGGACTGGGAACATCGAGGATGTTTGGGACATTGAGGGGACGTTGGGGACATTGTGAGGATTTGGGGACATTGAGGGGACAATGGGGACATTGAGGGATTGGGGGCGTTGGGGACATTGGGGACGTTGGGGGAACTGGGGACATTGGGGACAGTAAGGGGATTGAGGGGACATTGAGGACATTGGGGACATTGGAGGGCTTGGGGACATTGGGAGGATTTGGTGACATTGGGGACACACCTGCTGGTAGGTGTTAGTGGCGATGATTGGGCGCAGGACGGGGGGCGGGGCCAAAGGGTCCCCGGGGGCGGGGCCTGGAGCCCCCAGCACCTCCTGCTCGAACCTAAAACCAGTAAAAACCAGTAAAGATCAGTATAAACCAATACAGCCCCATGAAAACTAGAAGGACCAGTATGGACCAGTATAAACCAGTAGAGACTTGTAGAAGCTGGTCAAGACCAGTATAAGCCAGTATAGACTGGCAGAAACCAGTATAAACCAGTATAAACCGATATAAACGGATACAGACTCTTCAGTATCCCCCAGTAACCCCCAAACCCCGCCCCCGTTACCACGGCAACACCAGGCCCCGCCCCTCATCCCTCAACCCCCGCCCCTGTTGCCACGGCAACGCCAGGCCCCGCCTTTTCCTCGCTTAAACCACGCCCCCGTTACCACAGCAACCTTCAGACCCCCGCCCCTGTTGCCATGGCAGCAAGCAGACCACGCCCCTCAAGCCCCGCCCCCGTTGCCATAACAACCACTAAGCCCCGCCCCCTCCCGGCCGCCATGACACCCCCGCCGCTCCCTTTCCCTCACAGCGCCATCTCCGCCTCCATCTCCTTCAGCCGCTCCTCGCCGCTCTTCACCGCGGCCCCGCCGCCTCCCGCCACCGCTCCGGGCCCCGCCGCCACCACCGCGGCACCGGGCCCGGCTCCCGCCGCCATTCCCGGCCCCGCCGCTCCGGGAGCCGCCGCCGCCGCCATGGCTGGAACAGCCACGGCCACTTCCGCCCGCCTGAGGGGCACTCACTCAGCGCGACAACACTTCCCCATTTTTAATAAATAAAGGCGGAATTGGGGCGAAATCAGCGAAAAACGGACAAAAATGTCTGCGGAAGGGGCACAAAGCGCTTTAATGGCGGCAATAGAGGGCGGAGGCCGCGGGCGAGGCGGCGCTCAGCGCTTGAGCTCGCTGTAGATGTCCCCGCGCGCGCCCTGCAGCTCCTGGTAGTGCGAGTCCGGCTCCGGGGGGCGGGGCTTGGGCGGGGCTGTGAGGAAAGGGGGCGCGGTCAGGGCGAGGACACGCCTACTTTGAGCTGAGCCACGCCCACCGCGTGGTTGTGGTGGGTGATTATTGGTTTGGCCATTTTGGCCACGCCCCCTTGGGGGGCTTGGCTCCGCCCACTGATGGGTTTGGTCACGGCCCTGATTCAGCCGAGCGCTCCCAGTAAATCCCAGTAACCCCCAGTAACCCCCAGTAACCCTCAGTGACTTCCCAGTAACTCCCAGTAACTCCCAGTACCATCCCAGTAACCCCCAGTGCCCTCCAGTAATCCCCATTGCCCTCCCAGTTACTTCCAGTACCATCCCAGTCCCTCCCAGTAACCCCCAGTGCCCTCCCAGTAATTCCCAGTGCCCTCCCAGTACCCCCCAGTACATCCCAGTAAATCCCAGCGCCTTCCCAGTAACCCCCAGTAACCCCAGTGCCCTCCCAGTAATTCCCAGTAACCCCCCATTAACTCCCAGTAACCCCCTGTGCCCTCCCAGTAATTCCCAGGGCCCTCCCAGTGCCTCCCAGTAACCCCGCAAACTCCTCCCAGTGCCCCCAGTTCCCTCCCAGTGCTCCCAGTGCCCTCCCAGTAACCCCAGTACCTCCCAAGAGCACCCAGTAACCCCCCAGTAACTCCCAGTATGATCCCAGTAACTCCCAGTGCCCTCCCAGTAACTCCCAGTGCCCTCCCAGTAAGGCCCAGTAACTGGCAATGCCCTCCCTCCTTAGCCACGCCCACAAACCGCCCCTTTATATTTAGCCACGCCCACAATGAGTCACTTCCCCCTTGGCCCCGCCCACAAAGCTGTCCCTCCTTCTGGCCACGCCCACAAGTCATCCCTTCTTTTAATCCACACCCACAACAAATCCTTATATGTTTAGCCCCGCCCACAACTCGCCCATTCTATTGAGCCACGCCCATAATTAGGCCCTCCCTCTGAAGCCACGCCCACACTCAGCCCCTTTCTATTAAGCCACACCCACAACCAGCCCCTCCAGCTTTAGCCACGCCCACAAAATGTCCTTTTTAATGGACCCACGCCATAATTACCCCTTCCCTCATAAGCCACGCCCACAAACTGCCCTCCCCCCATTGGCCCTGCCCGCAATTGGCCACTCCCTTGGCCCCGCCCACCTCTGCGGCCCCGCCCGGCCAGCCAATAGGCTCCGCCCGCAATCAGTAGCGTCAGGATGACATCACCAATAACGAGCGCCGTGATTGGTCCCGGCCCTGGGAGGCACCCGGAACATTCTGGAAAAGGGAGGGGCAGGAGACACCTCGTGACCCGTAGTGACCTTTGACCCCTCCCATGACCCCGGGGTGGGGGCGGAGCCTTACCTGACTGCGCCACGGCCAATCCTGGGGCTGGGAATTAATGAAGGGGGCGGGACTTGGTGAGCCACTCCCACTTTGGCCACGCCCACAGATTTGTGGTGGGGAGGGGCCAAAGGGTGGGGGAGGAGCTAAAGGATGGGGGAAAGTTGGGGGCGGGGCCAAAGGGTGAGGGAGGGGCTAAATTGTAGGGGAGGGGCTTAAGGGTGGGGAGGGGCTAAAAGAGGGGAGGGGCTAAGGATGGGTGGGGAGGAGCTAAAGAAATGAGGGAGGGGCAAAAGTGGGTGGGGCTAAAGTGTGAGGGAGTGGTAAAAATGGGTGTAGGAGGGGCTAAAGAAATGGGTGGGGGAGGGGCTAAAAGGTGGAGGAGGGGCGCAATGGGAACTTCCGGGTGGGGGAGGGGTCCCCAAGAAATGGGGGAGGGGCATGGGGGGGGTTCCTCAGTGTGGGGGAGGGGCTCAGGAGGTGGGGGAGGGGCTCAGGGAGTCCCCATTGGGTGGGGGAGGGGCCGATCCCCCCCTATTTCGCCGCCATTCCCCTCCCCCACCCCGGCCCGGGCACTTCTGCTTTTGGGGGAGGGGCAAAGGGGGGGTGGGGGAGGGGCAGGGGGGGGTCCCTCGGGGTGGGGGAGGGGCGGGGGGGGGGGGTCACAGGTTGGGGGAGGGGCCTCACCAAGGAATAGCAGCAGGACCAGGCCGAGGGTCCCGGGGGGGGCCATGGCGGCGGTGGGGGAGGAAAAAGGGCGGGGCCAGGGGTGGCAAATCAAGCCACGCCCCCTTTCCTGAGCCCAGCGTCTGATTGGGCAGCTCCTTAAACTCGTGACCCCCCCCTTTGCAGAAAACTTCCCCTTTTTGGGGTCTCTGCGGTGGCCACGCCCCTTCTCATCAAGCCCCGCCCACTCTCTTGGAAGTTCTTTCTTTTAAAGCCCCGCCTCCGATTTAACCCCCGCCCCCTTTTAAATGAGCGCGGCCCCTTTAAGAATCCGTGGGCAGAGCCTCAATACCCCGTTAAGCCCCGCCCTGCGCTCGCTCTGATTGGCTGAACAAACTAAGGCTATCCCGTACGCTGATTGGCTCTAATTGCCTGACTAAACCCGGAAGTGGCACTCTGATTGGTCTGATTCGGCGAGGCGGGAGTAAGGGGCAAAAGGACCGCGCTGACTGGTCCGCACCGTGCTGGGGTGGGCGTGGCCTGAGCGCGCGCAAGGCAGGGCGGGAAAGGAGCGGCCTGAGGGAGCCCCGTGCGGGCGCGACCACTGCGGGTACGGGGGGGGGGGGAATTGGGGGGTCCGGGGGGGATTTGGGGGAGTCCTGAGGGGAATTTGGGGGATCCTGAGGGGATTTGCGGAGTCCGGCTGCAATTTTAGGGGGTCCCGGGGGAAATCTGCTGGGTCCTGAGAGGTTCGGGTGGGTCGGGGGGAAATTTGAGGGGTTCTGAGGAGGATTTGGGGGGTTCTGGAAGAATTTGGGAGGTCCTGAGAGGATTTCGGGGGTCCGGGGAAGATTTGAGACGGTCCGGGTGGGATTTAGGGGATCCTGAGGGGGTTCGATGGGAATTTGGGGGGTACGGGGTGGATTTGGGGATCCTGAGGAGGTTTGAGGGGTTCTGGGGGGAATTTGGAGTGTCCGGAGGGATTTCGGAGGTTCTGAGGGGATTTGGAGGGTCCTGGGTGAAATTTAAGAGGTCCTGGGGGTGTCCGGGGAAATCTGGGGAGTCCGGGGTGAATTTGAGGGATCCTGAGGTGATTTGGGTCGTTCCGAAAGGAATTTGAAGGGTCCGGGAGAGATTTGGGGAGTCCTGACGTGGTCCGAGGGGATTTGGGGGGCTTTGGGGGCGATTTGGGAGGTTTTGGGGGGATTCTGGGTCGTTCTGAGGGGAATTGGGGGTTCCTGAGGGGGTTTGGGGGATCTTGAGGTGATTTGGGGGCTCCTGAGGGGGTTTAGGGGGTCCTGGGGAGATGTGGGGTAATTTGGGCGGGTTGGGGAGGGGGATTTGAGGTTTTTGGGGGTTCCTGAGGGGGTTTGGGGGATTTTAGGCTTTTCTGAAAGGGTTTGAGGCGTTCCCAAAGGAATTTGGGGGTCATGGGGGAATTTGGGGCGTCCTGGGGAGGTTCCTGTGGTGGTTGGGGGGTCCTGAGGGGATGTGGGGAGTTCTGAGGGGAATTTGGGGGCGTCCGGGGGGGATTCGAGGGGTCCTGGGGGGGATTTGGGGGGTCCTGAGGGGATTTGGGGGCGTTTTAGGTGTCCTGAGGTGGTTTGGGGTGAATTTGGCGGGGTCTGGATTTGACTTGAAGCGGTCCGGGGGGAATTTGGGGGTTCCTGTGGAGATTTGCGGGGTTCGAGAGGGATTTCGGGGATCCTGAGGGGGTTCGAGGGGGATTTGGGGGGTTTGGGGGATACTGAGGGAGATTTGGGGATCGTGAGGGGTTTTGGGGGGGAATTTGGAGAGTCCGGGGCAATTTAGGGGTTCGTGTGGGGCTTTGGGGGGTCCTGAGGGGGTTCGAGGGGAATTTGGGTGGTCCTGAGGAGGTTTGGGGGGGTCCTGGCGGGGTCTGGGGGGGGTTCGGGCGGATTTGGGGGGTCCGGGGGAGGTTTGGGGGGATTCTGAGGGAGTCGGGGGGGGGGGTTTTGGGGAGGATTTGAGGATTTTGAGAGGTTCCTGAGGGGATTTGGGGGGGTCTTGAGGGGGACAGGGGGGTCCTGGGAGGAATTTGGGGAGTTCTGAGGGGATTTGGGGGGTCCTGAGGGGTTCGGGAGGCCTGAGGGGAGATGGGAGAGACCATTGTTGTTCCCGCGGGGGGGGGGGGGGGGGGTGGGGAGAGAGGTTAGAAGGGAGTGGGACGGACCACTGGAGAATTTCCGGGGGGATTTTGGGGATCTGGGAGGAACCATTGGTGTCTTGGGGGGAGTTAGGAGGTTCGGGAGGGACCATTTGGGCATTCGGGGGGGGGGAGGATTTGGGGGTTCCTGGGGGATTTGGGGGGTGTCTGGGAGGGACCATTTGGGATTTTGGGGGGGATTTGGGGGTTCTTGGGGGATTTGGGGGGGTCTGGGTGCGACCATTTGGGGGCTTAGGGGGGAATTTGGGGATTTTGGGGGGTCTGGAAGGGACCATTTTGGGATTTGGGGGATCTGGGGGACTTTTGGGAGTCTGGGAGGGACCATTCATGTTCCCGGGGGGGTCTTTAGGAGGCTCGTGGGGATCCCAAGGGGATTTTTGGGGGTCCCAGGTGAATTGGGGCCGTTCCCAGATGGGATTTCGCTCTCCCCGAGTGGAATTTTTTTGCAATTTCACCCCAAATTTTTGAAAATTTCAGGATTTTTGTGCTTTCCCTTCCCTGAGCTTTTTTTTTTTTTCTTTATTCCAGGCTGTGCCTCCCCC